ATGAGTTGAGGGCCCTGGGCCAATGCAGCACTGTGACTCTGTGGTTCTGATTAACCTGCTCTGTATCTAGTGTATGCTGCTTATTAACCACATCCAAGGGAAAGGACACTGGAAAGGATACATAGTGAACAGGAAAGCATGGCATATAGTGCCACTTTGTTTACGAACTGACTTTATGAACTGGTGCAAGACATTTAATTTCTCTGAGATTTCATCTATAGAAGCTTTTTTTTTTTCAGTTCAAATATCCTATAACTTACAACAATGGCATTCTGAATTAGAATTTCTGTTTATTCACATTATCCCATCCAATGTGTTTTGGGGGAAATATCACTCTAAAATATCAATAAAATTACTTTAAAATATTTTAACAATCAGTTAATAAAATTGCATGCCTTTATGAATGGATAATGTATGTTCATTTATTTCTCTCAAGTAGAAGAATTTGTCTCAAGTGTCTAATCAATGTTTATTAGCTTTGTTAGTTAACTTATTAAAATGTACAGTAATTATTCAAAAAAGTTTCCTGACTCCACGGGACTACTAGTCTCATTAGTTATGCTGCTGCACCAATGGTTTAGATAAGCCACATGAAGAAAGAGTTCAGAAAGTTCATAGTTTTACTTATTCTCTAGAAATAAAAATGTGCTGTGCCCTTTCAAATATATCAGATTTATTTTGAGCAAATATTCACAGTAAGACCTACTGATAACCCAATGGCTTAACTGGTAAACTTTCAAATGACAACACCAACATGATTGGGATTTGTAGATAAGAAAATTAATGAAAGGTGTATTGACTGGGTGCTTGCATGTATTCACATTGAAAGGATGGGTGTTCATCCAACCATTCATTCAATGAATATTTATGGAATTCTACTCTGAGCTGGGATTGGAAAAGTGGAAAGACAAGATCCTTTAACTTGGGAATCCTTTTCCCAAGATTCCCAGTCTAATTAATAACAGTAGGAACCTGTAAATAGTTACAGTGCTCTACTAGAAGTTCTACACCATGGTATACACAAAAGGAAAGGAAAGGCAATGCAAAAACACTTTGTAAATAATGCCTAGAAATAAGAACCAATAGATTTAGACTCCTCACAAGGACCACAGATGTTGAATAAGATTCAGAATATAGAATGGCTATATGTGAAATAGTAAAAGGAAAATACACAATGATAAAAATGAGTATACATATAGAAAGGAACCTATGGATTTGAGAATAAGAAATATAAGACATCTAAAAATGTAAATTGTTGAAATCTAAAACTCAATAGACTGGTTGAGCATATGCAGTAAAGATAGAAAAGAAAATATAATATATTAAAGAGACAAGGAGGCTAGCATGGGAAGGTCTAATCAGAGCCATAGAAGAGGATGCTGGGAAGAATCCTAGCCTCTACCCCACATGTCAGCAGCACTCACTCTTCTCAGTTGTGCAAATGAATACACTCACATGTCTTTGGGGGACCAAACCATTTCAGGGAAGAACCACTGTCATAAAGAACATGTGAGAAACAAAAATCACTGTTCTATTTCATTCATGGTTGTGGGAACCAAAAATCATATAGCAATGGAAAACTGAATTTAAAAGCAAATAAAATGCTAAGATCCCATTGGATTGTCACTTGAAATGCAAAGATAGTTGCGTACTTGAAAATCTGTAAATGTCATAATGTTAACACACTAATAAATTAAAGAAGAAAAATCTTGTCCTTTGAGTGCATGTATACATATATGTACATATATTAAAATATCCATAGCATCCAGTGACAGGCAGTGCCTTCCCTCATTTGCTCCTTTGATCTGTTCCTTGTAAGAATCCATGTGAACTATGAATCAGAAAACATGCTTTAGGTTCAGTACTGTGCCTGAGATCAGGGGATACCAGTGCAACTGAGCTAATCAGAATCTTCTGCTTCTCCACAGGTTTATATCTCTTTAGAGGAATAAGTTAAAGAAAAAGATTAGCTAACAAGGCCATTTGCAAATGTTTCAATCCCATTTAAGAGCAGACTCTATATTTATTTTAATAGCACCACAAATGTCCACTAAAATGTTGATTTGTACTTAAAAAGCAATTCAAATATATATTAATGCCAAGAAAAAGTCTTTTAAAATGACTGCTTAATTCTATGGCTGTAGCATTCAACACAATGTTGTTTGAAACCAACTGACCTTTACCGTTTCGAGCTAGTGAAAGAACACGGATGACTCATTAGTGCACTCACATGAAGTTTTTGCGTAGTGGCTGGCACAATGCTCATTTGCTGTGACTTTAGAATGCACTGGATTGCAAAAGAACCTCTATTATTTTTTATTTAACTATGTATATAAATAAATCTGAGATCATGGTATGGACAACAATTGAACAAGCTGAATCTCTAACATTACTATCTCCACCAAATAGTAGCTTACAGAAACAAGGAAAAGATGCTAAAATGAATGAGACTGAGGGAAGGGTCCTTTGCGGGCAATGGGCTCCAATCCATGCTACTACCTGTGGTTCTACATTCTGGGAAGGGGCATGTCAATGTTACCTCATTATCAAACTCTTGAGTCTCACCAATACTGACCTCACTTTTACACAGTCTGTACAAGAAGACTTCAATTTAATGAAGCCATGGAAAGCTCTTTTCTCAATATTTTAACATTTATATGAGCCACCAAGAGTAACTAACTTCAATTAAAATAGGATATGAATGAAATTAAATGAGCTAGGGGGTATAAAGTCTAACATGCTTTATCAACCTAACAGCTATTATAAAATAATAATAAAAACTGTTATACCTAACAATGGCTAATTACTGCACTAATCACTGGGAATGTATCCATAATAATGACAATGATGATCATAATAACACCCAACTAAAGAGAAACAGTAAGTTACTGCCTCGCAGACAAGGGAAATGTCGTGAAAAATGATATTCTCATTTTACAAGACTGCATTGTCTTTAGTGGCCATCACCACCCTGGTCCAGACTCCTCCTCTTCCCTGTCATTGAATCCATACTGAGAACACTACCACCAAATAATCACATCCAGAAACAAGCATTATTACACTTGACGAAAAAGAGCCTGGATGAATTTAGGACTTGCCTTTGTGAATTTCTACCTTTCCAGGCAGAGGACCCTGTCTGAGGTGAAGCCTGTCTCAGGAAGGCTCTGATTCCCTTGTCCTTGAACACATCCAAAGTGTTTCCTGTTGCTGCCTGTCCAAGCCTGCTGGAAGATACTAATGAAAGGAACTGGACATGAACAGAAAATTTACAAAATAAAAAAATATAGAAGGATCAATAAAAAAAAATCAAATTCCACTTCCAAGTGAACTAAAATAGGTCTAAATATAGATGAATTGGCTGTATGTATCCACTTGTAATTCCAAATATAAATTTAGGTATATCAATAACTTCATTGTATTAATGTGAACTAGTAAAAATCTTAGGTGAAGTTTGATGGTTAAATTTTGGAAATAGCAACAAATGTAGTCCACTTGATTGTTCCTTTGTTGTTAAGATTATATTTAAATGTGTATCTTTGATATTGTTTTTTTTTTTTTACTGTATTCACCTTTTTCAACACTTCTGGATTAATACTCTGGAGGAATTAGCTAAATATAATCTAAACCATAGAATAAATTATAACTCTTCTGAAAAAAATTAATTAATTAATTAATTAATTTAAAAAAAAAAAAAAGAAAGGAACTGGATCAAAGATCCAAACTCGGCAGTCCCCACACCCAGAGTCCCAGCCCCAGGCATCCTCTGTAGGGACATCTTTTGCCTATTCTTTCTCCTACCAACTTACTCACATGGGCCCCCCATTAGGAGTAGATGTCATTAGGAAGAAAAAAAAATAGTGTGATTTTGTAAGGCCAATGGTAAAACACAATTAGGACCAATGCTTTTATACTGTGAAATTAAACTAATAAACAACAATCCTGAATATATAAAATGTTTGGGCATTTTAGCAACATGAATAGACAGGGGGAAAGTCAAAATAGTTATAAGGCATGGCACAAGTGTTCCCTTTAGTCTAAGATTTCTCTTCTTAAAGCTTAAGAAAAGGAAGCACTCTCTGGCTCCCATTCCGTTCCTGTAAGAGCAGCAACTGAGTTAATATTCAAAGGTACAATGCTCCTACTTTGTGCTAGTCACTATGCTAAGTGCTTACGTGCATTATCTTATTTAATTCTCATAGCAAATTTTGTGACTTTTTGATAACTAGCATTATCCTAAGTTTTACGATTAAGAGAGTCTTAGAATGTTGAAATACCTTGCCCAAGGTTACACAAATGGTAAGTGACACAGCTAGAACTCAAATTCTAGTTCACTTAACCCCATGCTATAATGTCTTCAAACATCATTTTATAAGGTTTGGGCAAATGTTTCAATCTTTCCTACTAATCAATGAACTCCTTCAGGGAAGAATTTATTCCTCATTAATTTTTATATTTCCAGAGCATGAAATAATGCCTAATACAGAGCAGAAATTCAGCGAGTGTCAAATGAATAAGATGACAAATCAATAAACAAAGGAAGGAAGGAATTAATTTTAAAAGGAGACAGAGCATTGAAGTTTATGCAAAAAGTTAATTCTGCACTAAGAATACTATTCCTGTGGTTAGTTTTGTGCCTCTGCCTTTCTATTGTAGCAACATATGAGTATTTTATGATAAGCACCATTTTTACTTTAGAATTAAATGAAATGCTTTCAAAAATATGTACTTTACCCAGGGATTTAAATGAATGATTGAAATTCCATAATCAGAACATGACACAACCAAACCAGCATATAATCATATGTTTCCTATAATAAGCTACTTGAAGTGTTCTAATGGGTTACAATTTTGTAATCTAGGCATGAGAGGAAGATCTGTGCTCTTGACAATATTCAACACAAGCACTTCAACTGGCTCTGGATAAAAGAGAAACCCCTCTTTTGCATTGCATACATGCTCTCTTTTTTCCTTATCAGTAAGCAGACAGTCTTAACTGTTACCTTCACATCCTCTGCCATCTTCTTCCAGCTGCTGGCCAGCTTGACATTTGCAATAATAACTGCCAATTGTATTACAGCACTGGTCCTGACAGCCACCATTGTCAATAGTACATTCATTTATATCTGCAATTGAATAGTTAAACAGAATCAATCTCCTGAAACTAAACACACAGAAAGAAATTTCAGTGGCTCTCCTAAAAATGAACCAGCACCGTGACATCATCCTTTGACCGCAGATTAAATGAAATAGACTGGCATCTCATTTTAGTTAGAGCCTATGCACTCTAGGTTTGATGTAAAGAAAGAGACACATTATAATCTTTGGTATCTGAAATGCTACTTTTGAACAGTGAACTGAGGACATGGTGTGGCTTTTCATGTTGTGACATGGATTTTGGAGACTTACAGTACAGATCCAGATATTTCACATCCAAGTCATTGTTTGAGGATGAGTCTGAGAACAGAGACAGAGATTAGAGTCAGGACACTAGGTCACCTATTTGTTGTTATCAGTTCCTCAAATAAATAACTGCTGAGCATCTCCTCTTGCATATTCTGCCATGTGCCAGACAATGGGAGGAAGGAGAGCCGGTCGTTCTGTAGTTTCCAAAGGTTGACACCTAGCTGGGACTGAGGACTAACCAAGTGTGATATGTTGTGTTCATGGATTGGATATTCCCATTTCTAATCCTGTGACTAGACTTCATATTTCAGACAGAGCTGAATTTTATGTATTCCTACTATCCAACTGTAGCTTACAAATATTCCAACCTCTCTGCAACTTTGACAGTGGCCTGTGAGGTGACTTGTTACCAAGGTTCCAAGGTTCCTTTTTTTTTTTCCTTGACTGGGGATTTAGCCCAAGGGCTCTTTACCACTGAGCTATATATATCCCAAGCCTTTTAAAATTTATATTTTAAGACAAAATCTAACTAAGTTGCTGAGGTTGACCTTGAACTTGCAATCCTTCCTGCGTCCAGAATTGCTGAGATTATGTGTGCAGCATTGCTCCCAGCTGATTTGCTACTGAAGTTATACTCAAAATGGGCACCTCTACTTCATGTTGACAAGCTGACTTGGATAGATCTTTTCCCATGAGATGAGTGTGCCCGGAAGAGACAGTGGGTGGAAAGTGCAGAGAAAGTGCATAGGTGAAGGTGGGAGAGAGTGTTAGAAGACCTAGAGAGAAAGAGAATGAGTTAGTCAGGAACAGCAGAAGAAAAATGAAAGCAAGACAGAGGAGCTGTGCCATCATAATGTAGCCTGCAGAGAAGGGAACAACTGGATGCAGGAGCAACAAGGTACCAGGCAGAGGGATCTTGACTGTGCCTCTTGACTGGATACCATTGATTTTGTCTGCCCCTCAATGTGCTGCTGTTGAGACTGCTTTTACTCATTGTTAGTTAACTTTTCATTGAAACTGTGTCTTATATATAAAAAAGTATACAATTCCTAACTACACACTTTAAAGATTTTGCAGAAATAAAAATATATCAATGCATTTTTTTTTTCTTTATCATGTGTGTGTGTGTGTGTTGCTGGGGATCAAACTCAGGGCCTTGTGCATGCTAGGAAAGTGCTCTACCACTGAGCTACATCTTAGCTCACCAGTGCAATCTTAACACACCACTAGATCATGACTAACACCCAAGAAAAACTCTATCTTACTTAAGGTAACTATCTTGATAATGTATATATAGAATCATACCATAAATAATTTGTGTGTGTGTGTGTGTGTGGCTTCTTTTGTCTGTAATTCCCGTTTATAACACATATCATGTTGTTGCAAATACTTATAGTTCATCCATTCTTATTACTGTATATTATTCTGTTCTACAAATATACCACAATACTTGTTTATCCATTTCACTGATGATGGACAATTGGCTATTTTTTGATTTGTTTGTTTTTGGCTACTGTGAAAAGTGTTGCTGGTAACATTTCCATACATATCTTCAATGAACTTACATATGCATTCCTGTTGGGTAATATATCTGAGACTGGCTTTTCTTGGCCAAAAGGTATGACATGTTCTACTTTAGTAGTTATAGCCAAATCGCCTTCTAAAGAGATTATTCTGATTTACACTCACACCAGCTGTGTATTGGGGACCAGATGCCACTCATTTTTGCCAACATTTGGGATTTTCTGTTTTTTCATTTCAGCTCTTCTGAGGAGTTTATAATAGCATCATGTTGCAAATTTAATTTGCATTTTCCTGATTATTAATTAGGTTAAGCACATTTTCATGTTATTGGCCATTTGGATGACATCTTGTTGAAATGCTTATTCAAATATTTTGTCCATTTGTTCAATTCTTAAAATATTGGTTCTTTTACTTGTTGGTTTTCAAGTGCAATGTTAAATAGAAGTGATGGCAATGGTCATCTTTGTCTTCCTTCAGATCTTAGAAGGATAGTTTTTAATATTTCCTAGTAGGTTAATGTGTGCTGTAAGTTTGGAGATACATCTATATTTCTATTTCCATCTCCATCTATCTATCTAAAGAGATTAGTTTTATCAATTAAAAATTATTTCCACTTCTTGTTTTCTACATATTTGTATCATAGATGGTAAATTTTATTTACTGCTTTTTGCGAATCTATAATCATATGATCTTTCTTATAAATTCTGTAATGTAATGAATAACATTGCTTGATCATTGCATCTCTGAAATAAACTTGATCATGATACACTAATTTTTATATATGGGTGTGTGTGTGTATATATATATATATATATATATATATATATATATATATATATATATCAGTCAGTCAGCTAATATTTTGTTGAGAATTTTGTGATTAAGTTCATGGGAGACATTTGTCTGTACTTTTTGTATAATATTCTTATAGTACTAGGTTTAGGTGCCCATGTTGTACTGGATATGTAAAACAAATTGGAAGCTCTTTCTCTTTGTCTCGTCTCTGAAGAAACTGTATAATATTGGTGTCATTTCTTACTTAAATGTTTGGATGAGTCCATTTATGATGCTATCTGGGGCCTGGGATTGTGTGTTTGTGTGAGTAAACTTATTAATAAATTTAATTTATTCAAAGGGGAACAAAGGGAAGGGAAGTGGGATGGAAAAAGGAAAGACAGTGGAATGAATCTGGCATAACTTTCCTATGTACATACGTGAATAGACCACAGGGAACCTCACTATCATGTATATCCACAAGAAATTTTTTTAAAATATGGGTAAATGACAGAAAGATCAGCAGAGAAGGGGGAAGGGGTGGGAGTAGGGGAGGAGAAGGGGACATACTCGGGACCTAATTAGAACAAGATACATTCCATGCTTTCATAATTATGTCAAAATGAGTCTACTGTCATGTATAACTAAGAAGAACCAATGGAAAAGATTTTTAAAATCAATTTGTTGACTATATATGATATTTAGTTTTTAATTTAATCATGTTAGAAAAGTTATGTTTTGAGAAATTTATCCATTTAATATAAATATTCCAGTGCACTGTTGTTAAACTCTTTATAATATTCTCTTACTCTCTTTTGAATGAGTGTCCAACTTGTAGTTAGGCCCCCTTCCCTACAGTTGAAATTCATAATATGTGCATCCTTTCTCCTCCTTCTTCTTCATATTAGAAATTGAATCCAGGGGTGCTAAACCACTTAGCCATATCCTCAGCATCCCCTCCCCGCATTTTTTAAATTTTACTTTGAGACAGTCTTACTAAGTTGCTGAGGCTGGCTTTGAACTTGTGGTCCTGCTGCCTCAGGTCCTGAGCTGCTGGGATTACAGACATGTGATACTATGCATGGCTCTTTTTTCTCCTTGACCAGTTTTATAAGGGAGTTATCAATTTTATCTTCCCATCTATCATCTCTCTATTCTGTCACAGCGCTCTATCTTAGCTATCTCCCTCAGCTCCATATGATCTGTCTGTTTTAGTCTTTCCAAGAAGAAGATGTTTTTTGGCTTTATTAGTCTTTCAGTATTGCATATTTTCCCACTTAATTCATCTGTGCTACAATCTTTACTATGGCTTTTCTTCTACTTTGGGTTTCTCACAAGAGGGAGATTTAAATAGTTGCTTAGTTTTTCTTCTTTTAAAAATATTTCTGGTTATCTATCAACATGCGTCTAGCTACCCCAAAAGCAAATGATTTAAAAAGACAATTGATTGTTACTATTTTTCTCATTTCTGGGGATTGAAGGCTTAGCTGGTTGGTCCTCACTTGTGGTCCCACAGGTAGCGGAATCAGTGGCAGATGAGACTGTACTTATAGACAGGCTTTTCATTTACATGCTGGGATAGGGCGGCAGTGGTTGGGACATGTGTGTGGCTGGTAGAGTGTTTCCCTCTCTCTCCATGCAGCCTCCCTGCTTAATGGTCTCGAGAGTTCAGATGTATTTTATGGTAACTATCATTCCCCTGAAGGACCATTCCCAGAGATCCAAACAGAAGCTACATGCTTCTTAGGATCTAGAAGTCAGACAGAATCACTCCTCAGGTATTTATTGACTAAGTTAGTCACAGGACAGCTGAGAATTCAGGAACAGGAGCAATACCTCCTCTGAACATAGCCTTGCTGAACCCAGTGTATTGCACCAATGTGTTCATTTGATGTGATATATTTTCCTATAAATAGAGTATTAGCTATATCCCACAATTTTTGATATGTTTTATTTTAATTATCATTCAACTCAAAATATTGCATAATCTACACTGACATTTCTTTCTATGACTATTTAAAGTGTATGTTGGGTGTTTTTCAAATCTTTGAGGATATTCTAATCATCTCGTTATTATTAAATGCTAGATTAGTACCATGAACAGAGAATATACTCTGTGTAAGTTCAATTCTTCAAAATTTTCTAAAGCTTGATCATGCGAAATTAACACATGATCAATTTTGGCTAAAAAAGTATATTTATTGGAAAAAATTGTATATTCTGCAATTGCCAGATGTGTTTCTTGTATGTAGACATGGGCAAATATATACAAATAAACAAAACATATACATACACACATATTTATATGTATATATTAAATACATATGAAAATACATATGAAAATCCATTAATTACACTTTTAACTACATTAATTTCATTATTTATGGATTATCTTTTATGTTTATTTTATAGTTAGTGAAAG